TATCACTTTTTTTCTGTAAATCTGGCTTGGTTATAATTGGCGTCAAGTGTGGAATTGACTTTAGGATTCGTGTTGGGATGGGATCCAGTTGACAAGATTTAGTTGGAGATTGAAGAATAAGTTTGTGAACAATATCAGCAGATACAGGTTGAAAACTTTGGAACGACGAGGTGACTGGATAATTGACGTTGATGTCGGGTGCTTGGGCAGTATGGGAGTCCAAATCCGATCTTATTTTCTCAATCTTTTTGATAAAAAAAATCGTTGAACTTTTCGGTGAATGTATCCAATGAATCATTATTAGGGAGTGCAGCGATGTTCTTTGAAAAGAATAGGCGAGATACCATCTTGAATCGTTGTGATTGGTCAGAGGAGCTAATCAGAGTCCGATAATAGTTTGTCTTTGTCGCTGTTAGAAGATCATTGTAGTGTTTGCAGGAATCAATAAATATTTCGTGGTGAATTTGAAGACCAGTTGAAATATATCTTCTTTCATGACGACGTTTGTCTTGTTTAGCCTTACGAAGTTCATCGATATATCAAGAATACATGTATTCGTCTTATATTTTTTGCTGATAGTAGAGAGTCATCTCAAGTTTTCTATTAACTTCTTGATATTCTTAAATTTGATGACATTATTAAACTGAGTACATGCGTACTTGCACATAAGATATTTAACAAGTCCTCCAATATTCCTTAACTGTTTCATGATTCCCTCAGAACAGTCTCTAGCTTGCACAAGTATAACACCAGATACGCCTCCAGAGTAATTTTCATCGACGAAAAGTAAGGAACAACACTAGCAAATTTACCTTTGTATTTGCAGCCTCTAAATTATGGGCAGCGGTACCAACAAACTTGAAACGGCTCTCATTAGTAACTTTAAAAAAGCGGTATAGAAATCATCTTCTCAAATGCCATTCACAGTTACGAATTTCCAACGAAGTTTCACTTGCAATCATATCTATTTTTGTTTTCCGACTTTTCTGTAAGTAATTTTTTAATGCAACACCTCCATTCTATTTTCATAATACTTCTTGCCATGTGAATTAGTTTAGTCATAATTACTATTTGTTTCCTTCGTTCCTTTCTTTACTTGTAAGTAAGCAGCAGCCAACTCGAAAGCTTTGCTACTTTGGCTCTTGCACACTAATTCAAAAATTGTAATTATATATCTATATGTATTGTAATTGTATATCTTCGATTATTTGTTTTCTATACTTGTTTTTTTTTTTTTTTTTTTTTTTTTTTTTTTTTTTGTTGCTCTTTCTCTTCTACCTGAATAGAGTGAATAAAAATGTGGTAGTTGCCTTGGGCATGCTTGTTCCATTGGTTTGCGGTACATTTGACAAGAATTTATGGCAGAGCTTTGAAACACTGTTTGGGATACATGTGACAACCCTAACCCATTGAAATTGCCGATACGAATAGCATGTAACATGAAAGTTTTGCTAGCGCTGTAGATTCTTAAAAATGAAAACCATTGAAAGTTTGTAATGGCATACAGATCTTACTAGCCTTGTTGCTTCGTTAAATTTTTCCACTTCTATTCTGGTCTTTCCGTTTTCAACAGTTTTTTGTTTTCAAGCCCCTTTGTTTCACGCATTTAATAAAATCTACGGCATTTACAATCTTTTCTCTCGATGTCTAAATAATAATAACTTTTGGATATTTCGCACTGCATTAAGCCAGTGCAGAGCGGGTGTCCAGTGCATGCTAGAAACGGGCAGCTACAGAACACACCATGAGAATCAATATTACGTTCCAAGTCGCAGTTGTACCACTCTCCGTCAAATCTGATCCAGTTGTGAATTTTCCTTGGTATGGTCTTGCCTGAAATAGCTGAGTCTTAAGAGATAAAAATACAGAAATTTGAGTTGATAGAACCAGATAGATGAGTAATTTTTGGTCTTAAGGGACCATAGGCGGCAACAGGCTAGAAGAACGTTAGGAAGAAAATGAACTGAGACCTGTCTTGATTTTCGAGAAATGCTCAGAGTATTGGACTTCTCGAGCGGCAAAATTTAAATAAAAATCTCCAGTATAACTCGCAGTAAGTTTAAATAAAGACTGAATAAATTTTAGTTACGAGTACAATCTCATGATATGAAAATTTGATGACTCCAGAATATTTTTTTCGCGAAAAGTTGTAAAATCCACGTGCAAAGCTATTTTTCTGTACATCAAATCTTTTCTTTCAAAACGGGCATCATTTCCGTCACCGCCATGTTTTAAGGCTACTGATTACAAGTAATTGGTGATGATAACGACGGCGATGACTGCGAAAGTGGTAATCGACGGCGGACAAGAACAAGTATCACGATACTGATATTAAAGACCCTGAGAGCCATCAACTCATTCAAGATCGATCGTTTTAGCATGATATGATGAAGTAGGCTTCGTCTAAGTACCACGATCATCCTTCCACTAAATTAATTAAGGCAGCGTACGAGTTTTAGAATGAAATTGTTAACAAAGGTGGCGAGTTACCTTCATGTATACTCTCATCGATTCTTCCATGTTCTGTGACCAGAGGTGATATAAATGCTAGTATCAATAACAAAACAACGCCCTTCATAGTCATTTAATCTGTTAGAAATCAAAGCGAAAAAAAGACAGAAGGAATAAACAAACAACAGAAATAAAAAAAACAAAAACAAAAGCAAAAACTCGATCACAAGGTGTGATTGGATACTTCATATTTATCAGGGAAATACACCGCCATGACAAGTAATTGCTAAACTGATGCCGTCATTGAATTGGCAGTCCAGCCAAGTACTGGACTTAGAAGATCAATCAGTGAAATCTGGACCTATTCAGATCCATACTTTGAGAAGAAATACTTATGGAAGTTAATTCACGTAATTATTATTTGATGTATTCTCTTCTTCATTTCTTTTAGTGCAGAGACGCGACCTGACGTTCTGCCATATGATCTCCTGCTAATAACAGTCTGCCCATCTGGAATAGCGAATGAATGTATTTCGCAATAGATAAAAATTGCTCGTGCATCTTCCGCGTAGAATAGCAAGTCTCTTCCCTGAGCCGTCAAAAAGAGACTGGAGGTGAAAATAGTTATGGAAGACAATCAATTATCGATCTAGGAAGACAAACGATTGATAATCTCGCATAAGGTAAATTATGAAGGCTTTTATTTTTTTACAAATGTCAAGACTTGTCACTGTCTAGCATGCCAATCATTTGCTCCCATAAAATAATCTATCTGCTCACAACTTATAAATCAATTTATTTTTCTTAACCTTGACCACAACTTGTTAGAACCGTAGCTGTCGTGACGACATTAAGACTCGGCAGAACAAGCGTATGCCACCAGATGATATGTTCCGACCTCTGACTAAAACAGTAGAAGCTGTTAATACATTTGGTTTCTTCTCAACTCTTTTTCTTGATTTTCCATGCTACTTTCAAAAGTTTCATGTTTACTGGATAAGTTTTCGAAAGAAGGATGTCACTGATAACGAGGCCAATGGATATCACTGTACGACGCGTAGAAATGAAAGATAATCCAAAACATAGCGATAGACAGGTTAATAACACTTGAGAGTTTAATCAGAACCAAACAAGTGACAGCCACAAATAACAATCGTAGATCTGTTTAAGAAAAAAGACTGCGAGAAAAAAAAAACAGTTCTTTTGTCGAGTCCATACGTACAACATATATTGACAGATATCAATAAAATTGCAACCCTCTCAAGGCTTTAAGTTGCGAATAAAAAGGTGATCTGCTGTGTACCAGGATGTCGAATTTGATGAACCTTACCCAACATAGCGTCCAAGCCTTTACTGCTTTGCTCCAAAAATGTCTGAACACTTCCAGGTTGATGAGAAATGATCCTTTTTTACGATGAGAGATATGAATACAATACGGGTACCAGGCGTTCTGTTGACAGAAATATACCTGCGTTTGAGTTGAGAGTAACAGGAGCATAACAACAAAACACGTTATTCTTGCCACAAAAACCCTATTCGATGCAGTAGTACGTTTTTTGCATTTAGATATGCCTCAATAAAATTTTTAGAGGGGACTTTTCATTTTTCAAAATGTAACCAGTGACAAAGAGCTCCGAATGTAATCCATGATCACGATGGTTTTGCGCAAAATTTAACAAGTGACTTAGAGCTCTGAATGTAATCCGTGATCATGATTATTTTGCCCAATAATCGTTTGTAATGGTCCAAAAAACTCTCGCAATGCTTTGAAACAATCTAAGAGAAAGGGGGGGGGGTGGGGGGTTAAGAGCTGAAATGTTTTACAAAATAGTTCTCTGGTTTTTTTTTGTTTCTCTTAAAGATTCCTACATGCTTTGCACCTATGGCAAAAACAGATTAGTCAAAATACAAGCTATCAATAACCGTGCTCACAAAATACAGCTAGTATGTCGAGCTTTTCTAACGTCAAAATGAATGAATGCCAATCTGTAAGGAAAGAAGGATTTTTTAACTACATAGGTTAGGGTAATCCATAATTTTCAGAAATGTTGGATAGCTGCAAAGAAGACCTATGAATCCTTGTAACTCATTAAATATTTTTCCACGCATGCGGTTGGTTTAAACACATCACATGACCGAATATCTTCCAGCTCAAACTGGGGGATATTTGAGTATACACCTCAAGTGATATTCCCCAATTTTCAAACTTTGCGTTCAATTAAGGAAAACCCTGTGTTCAAAATCTAATTCAGATGAGAGAGCGCCGTGGGGTTGTTACAAAAGAAAAGATTTGTTTTGTTTCGTTCAACAAGTCGTACCAGGGAACATCGAAAAGTGAGATACTACACCGCAAACGGTAAGGTGTTCGTAAACACTTTTCTTGCTTCAGTGGAAAGATATTTGAAGGATAATAAACATAATAACCTCCATATGGCCCGAAAATATGCACGGATATTTGTCCGCGGACATTAACTGTCCTAAGAAAGGAACAGTTTCTAAGAGCAAAACTCTGCCACTATCCCGCCATCTTGACCTCATCCTTGGTCCAAAATGCATTTGTATCAGCTTTGTCTTTGTTGGCTACTAGTGACGTCCCCTTAATAAATAAGCAGTTTGCTCCACTTTCCGTTCTTACTTTAGTCAAGTCCACCGTGGCATAAACTCGCTAAACTGAGCAATTTGCTCTACTTTCAGTTCCTACTTTAGTCAAGCCCACCGTGGCATTACTGGCGGGTCCCGATTCCGTAATACAGTAGTATGGCATATAGTAATGGAATAAAAAAATATGGGCATGTTAAAGATGTTAAATGATTGTTTTTAACTTAAAATTATCTTCTTCTCCTTCAGTTTGCAAGGAACCAAGTAACGCTCATGGATACAATGATTTTGAACCTACTTACTTCTGGAGCTTTACGACGTTCAAGCACCACGCTAGCGGCCTCTACCTGGGATGCGACAAAGGAAGTGCAAAACTGTTTGAAGTTGAGAACTTTGATTATCCGAGTCCTAAAATTCTTTTTGTTCTTAAAAAATTTGACTACAAGTAACAGCCGAAATAATCATGGCTGGTGGCGTTTATTCACTGCGAAGTCTGCTTTTATGCATCTGTTACCTTTTTGCAAAGTTTTTTTTTTTTTTTCTTTTTTCTTTTTAATTTGAATATTTTAACTATGGCCTATACAGATATCCTGCATAACAGATTCATATCAAATAAAAGCTGAAAAAATCTTGACTGTGAACGTTTACTCACTGCGAAGTTGGCTGGGCCCTATGCGTCTGTTATGTATGTATGTATGTATGTATGTATGTAAATCTTTATTTAAACACAGAAAATAATCACTTAGGCTTAAGTTAAAAACTAAGACTAATTACAACTGTTTTACATGATTGCAGTGTGGGAATCCGGTATATCAGCTACCTTCTTGATATTCGCTTAAAATGCTCAACGGATGAAGCATTTTTTAAGCTTTTGAGTAGGTTATTCCATAACATGGACCAGTTGTAAGAGAAGCTTCGTTTCAAATAATTGGTGCTTGGTTTCGAAAGGATCAGCCTTCCCTCAGAGTTTCTTAAGTTGTAAGCAGAGTGACGCTGAGAGAAAAGACTTTGTAGATATTTGGGAGCAAGGTCATTCACGGTTTTATACATCACTAAGGCTTTTTGTTTTTTTGGTCGAAGAGATGGCCTCTCCCAGTCGAGGGTGGAGAGAAGATGGTTTGAGCTCGCATCAAAGAGTGATTTAGTTGTAACTCTGGCTGCACGACTCTGTAATTTTTGGAGCTTATCACTCAAGTAACCACTCAAACAGTCCCAAATGGGGCTGCAGTACTCAAAATGAGGCATAATTAAAGCGTTATTAATTTAAATTGCAGTTTATTTGGATACAAAGGGCCGGACACGTTTTAGGGCGCCTACAGCTGAAGAGCCTTTCTTGCAAATTTCTTCAACGTGTTTTAGGAGGCAGCATGGTCGAGTGATCAGCGTGTCGGACTTGCAATCCGTCGCTGCCGGGTTCAAGTCCCGCCCTGGCCACTACTTGGATTTGTTTCACGGTAGCCCCGAGTTTCAAATCCTCGGCCATGCTTGTAATATAGCCAACTGGTTTGCCTTTCGCCAGTTGGGATTCTTAACAATGTTATTTTCAATTTGAATTATTTGTTTAAGTTGTTTCGTTGAAAACCAGTAAACTAGCTTTTAGCTAAGTGTTTCTCCACGTTAAACTGTTTATTATCATTATTATTATTATTATTATTATTATTATTATTATTATTATCACCCCAAGAGAGTTGAGCATCTATGGTAAGCCCCAAGGATTTGGTCTTATCGACTCTCCTCTCCTGACAATTTGGTCATCAATTCTGATATCTACATCGTGACATTGGGCAGATAGTGTTTGTCTTGATCCAATAATCACTAGCTCTGTCTTAGCAACATTTAGACTGAGCTTGTTAGCGCTAGCTTTCAGCCAACAGCTAAGGTATTTAATTTAAGGGTTAGAGCTAGCTTAAGCTCTGTTAATGTCTTAGCAGATAACGTAAGATTGGTGTCCTAGGCAAACATTCTTGATATGGCGCCTCGCAGGGAGTTGGGAAGATCATTAATGTAAATTAGGAATGGCAAAGGACCCAATATGCTACCCTGCGGCACGCCGCAACTGAGGGTACGAGCAGATGATAGCTTGCCACTGACACTACATCTCAGGGTTCGGCCACTTAAGTAAGACGAGAACCACTTTCTAGCTGGCAGATCGACACCCAAGTATATGACAACTTGCGCAAGGTGATCTCATGATCAGTGGTGTCGAATGCCCTAGTAAGGTCAATAAAGACAACGCAATTTAGAAGGCCATTGTCGATGTTTACTGACCAAGCATTTCTTGCCTCAAGCAAAGCCGTGAGTGTACTATGTAGAGAACGGAACCCTGATTGGCAACCTAATTGCAATTTGTTATCATTTAGATAAAGGAAAAGTTGACTGTAAACAATTCTCTCAAAAACTTTCGAAATTATAGGGATTACAGATATTGGTCTATACCTGTTAGGATCCGATTTAATTCCATTTTTAAAAATTGGGATCACTTTGGCTGTTTACCAATCGTTTGGATATATCCCCGTGAGAATAGACTTTGAGAATATTGAGGTAAGAGAGGGTGCGACGATATAAGCAGCCATTTTCAACAATTTACTCCGAACCATATCAAGACCGGTGGCTTTCTTTTCATCAATTTTCGACAAAATGTTAGAAACAATATCAACACTCAGAATTTGTAGAGAAAACAAATGATTAGCGGGCTCTAAATAAGACGCAAGATTAACATAGAGAACAGGAATATCTTGTGCTAATACTTGCGCAAAGTTTGTAAAGTGATCGTTTATAGTTTTCGCAATGTCCATGGGATTACTTACTATTTTATCATCTAATTATCTTGATCTCCAAAATATTCGTCGACCTACCACGCGCTGTTACGTAATGTTAGCTCGTTGATAACATTCCATGTTTTGCGTAAATTACCTTTGTTGGCTTCCAGGTTGTCAGAAACGTAGAAATTCTTTGCGAGTTTAATTGCGTTGTTTGCCTCGTTTCCTAAGTTCATCAATATGACACAACAGACTATTAATGTTAAGGGACGCATTGACTAAACCTGAGACAGTTGGACTTACCACGGTCGATACCCTTATGTTACTATTTGCAAAGGGTTTTTTCGTTTAGTTTTGTTTTGTTTTTGAATTTGAGTATTGTAACTATGGCCTATACAGTTACCTTGCATAACAGATAGGTATCTAAAATTTAGTCCGTGGGAATTATCTTGTCTTAGTCCGTTTTATTTGCACGTTTTAGGGTCTTCATGGTATACTCACTTTTATCGTAGAATTGATGTAGTCATAATGTTACAGGAATATTTAGTGATATTTTCGTGTGTTTGCATGAAGAACATTTTTATTTGTTTTTCAACATTCTATTCGTTTTTAACTCTTTTGACTTTATTTCCTTGTGATGTTTTTAAAAGATAAAAAGCCGCAGTAGTTTTGAATAGTCAACTAGCACATTTTTCTTTATCGCTTGTCTTCATTGTACGCCTTTGTTTACCCTTACTAGTGAAATTTTTGATAAATATAAGTCTTGATGGTCTTTCCAGTAGAAAATTGGTGCTCATGGTAGTTGGCAGCTGAGTTTGTGCTCGTAATTTCAATTTCTTTCACACGATAATTTTCCACGCCGCTGAGTCCCGAACGTAACACCAAACTAGCATAGAAAAGCGTAAATTTTTAATTGCTTTTCACTTTTATTTCCCAAGCTGCTCTACCGTGATTAAGATATTTATGTTTTTTATATCAGAGCTGTGGATTCCCACTTAAGTTTCCTATTTTTGATTTTTAAATTCTTTCCGTTGTAGACACAGATG